GGCTGGCCCCCAGCTCACAGGGGACCCAGCACGTGTGGCACCATCTTGGATCTGAGCCGGTCGAGCCCCGGTCCCCACCCTCCCTGACCCATCCTCTTCCCCCGGGCCTCTGAGGCAGGCGGCCCCGGGCTGGCCAGGCCTTCCTTCCTGGCTTCAGCCACCCGGCTCCGGCTTCGGCAGCAGGGGTTGGGCTGTCTCTCCCATTCCCTGGAGGCGGGCCCCGGCAGCAGTATTGGAGGGGCTTAGGCAGCGGGAGAAGGGCCCGGCCGCTGACCCACTCACTCAGGACCTCTCACTAGCCCCGCTTTGGGCCCCCTCCCGTGACCTCAGGGTTTGGCCCAAGGGGCCCTCCCAGGCCCCATCTACCCCCTCCCAACCGATTTTGCCCAGATAATCGTGCGTCTCTCCTGCCTCCACTCCAGCTGCTTCTCAATCATGAATGTGTCCATGCCCCCAAGCCCCTTGCTGCCGTGGGCTACGGCCGGGCAGAAATGTCAGTGAGGGGCAGAGTCCGTGGAGGGGCCTTTCCTCAGCCCGTTCTGGTTTGGGGGCTGGGCCCTGCCTCCCCGTTACCTTCCCCCCCCCGCAGGCCTGGAGCCTGCGGGCTGGACTGAGGCTCCCGGGCTCCCCCAGCTGTGTCACCCCGTGTGGTCCCCACTCTAGGCCAGGGGAGGTAGGGAGAAGTGTCCGTCTTCTGTCTCCATGTGGTTTCAGGTGTTTTTCTCGTTGTGTCCTGGATTCCGATAAAATTAAAGAAATCGCTTCAACTCTCAGGCCCGTCTCATTCTAGTCAGGTGGTAGGGAGAGACCGGTGTGAGAAAAGGCTCCAGTGTAAGAAAACTTTATTTTAAATACTTTGGAGGTGCCTTCTCGGAGGGTGTTAGTCCCAGGCCTGCCTCCCCCGCTCGCTCTTGGTGATCCTGCTGGGTTCCCAGCCCCCGGGGGAGAGGAGATCAAAGACCACTGACTCCTCATCCCTGGAGCCTGGCCTCAGGCTGTGGGCTGGCCGGGCCTGAGGTAGGAGGCGCTCAGGCCCCTGGGCCTGCCAGATGCTGGAGAGCAGCAGTTGTGTCTTCCTTTCCTGTCCGCGGCAGGAGGGTCTCAGGCCTGTGTGCCGAAGCCGGAAGGATTCTGCTTCTGCCAGCGCCACAGGTCTTCACCTGGGAGGGGCGAGGTGTGCGGTCAGGGCCACATTGGGATGCAGGGGCCCACCACCTCGGGTAGCCCAGGGTAGGCATCCCCAGGCCCAGCCAGCCCCTCCTCGCCCGAGCTCACTCCCACAGGGCGGGCTGGCACTCACACATCCTGTCTAGCCCTAGGGCTGCTGACCAGCCCAGCTCCTGCAGGGCCAGGCTGGGGTTGGCGTAACAGGCAGCCACGTCACCTTCCCGCCGTGCCACCACCTTGTACGGGATCTGCAAGAGGGGACAGCTGTAGCGTGGCTGAGCTAGCCCTGGCCTCACCCAGCCAGCTGCTGACCTCAAGAAATGGAGGTGCGGGTGCAGGGCAGGATCTGGAAGGCACAGAGCGCTAAAGCAGGTGAGTAGATGGCAGTGCCCCTCGGGTAGGCTAGTGGGAGGGGCCAGGCCTATCGCTGAGAGTCAGGCGGGACGGGGCAGGGCAGGCGGTCTACCTTCCTCCCGGAGGCCTTCTCCATGGCCTGGACCATCTGCAGCACCGAGTAGCCTGTGCCGGTCCCCAGGTTGTAGATCTGCCAGGAGAGGCTAGGTATGTGGAGGGGGCGGGACTAGCCACCGCTCTTGTCCCCATTTGCCCAGCACTCCGCCTCTCCCCCTCCCTCACGTCCTTTCTCCCTACCCGGCAGCCACAGCGCTCCTTCAGTTTCTTCAGGGCCGCGATGTGGCCCTTGGCCAGGTCCACCACGTGGATATAGTCCCGGACGCCTGCAGGGGGGGGGGAGGTGGCGGGAGGGTTCAGTACGGTCCACCCCACTTCCGTCTCCCTCTGGGCTCCCACTCCTGAGCCCTGTCCTGGCTCACCTGTGCCGTCCTCCGTGTCATAGTCGTTGCCAAAGACATTCAGTGCCTCCCGGCGCCCAATGGCCACCTGGGGGGAGGTCAGGTCAGCTCTTCTCTCAACACCAGCTGCACCCCTCCACTCTAGGGGCTGCGGAAATGCTCCCCCCTCCCCCCACTCCCTTACCTGGGAGACGTAGGGCATGAGGTTGTTGGGGACGCCCTGGGGATCTTCGCCAATGCAGCCCGAGGCGTGGGCGCCCGTGGGGTTGAAGTATCGCAGCAGCACCGCATTCCAGGTCTGCGGACAGGTCAGATGAGGGGTGAGGGGACAGGCTGTGTCCCAGCTCAGTGCAGAGGCCTTTGCCTCTGAGGTCCCTGAGCCATTCTCTGTCCCTGGGAAGGAGCAGGGGGATCGGCCCTCCCAGGTGCTGTGACCCTGCGCAGTCACCGCCGCTTCCCGAGCTGTAGCGTCCTCCTGGGCGGGCGGTGCTTAGAATCCCATCTGTAGGCTCATGGGGGCAGGAGGATCAAGGTCAAGGGGACCCCTCACCTTGTCTGCCTGGCACAGGTCCCGGATCATTTCCTCGATGAAGAACTTGGACTTGCCGTAGGGGTTAGTACAGCCACCCGTGGGGTGGGCCTCGTCCAGGGGCAGGTACTGGGGGTTCCCATACACGGTCGCCGAGCTGCTGAACACCAGGTTCTTCACCCCGTGCGCGCTCATAATCTGGCCGTGGGGGGCGGGCGGGGGGGAGGAGGGATCAGTTATTCCCAGCCCCGTACTCCTTCACAGGTGGGTGGGGCTGAGGTATGGGCACTCCCGTGTACAGATGGGAGTCTGAGGCGGAGAGGTAAAGAAAGACGTGTGTCCAGGATGGTACAGGTCTGGGCCCTGCCTGACTCTACCCCCCTTACCCACTGCTTGGCACTGCCCACCAGGCCCTCCCCGGTCTGTCCTTGCCCCATGTCTCACCTCCAAAAGCTGGATGGTTCCTGTCAAGTTAACTCGGTAATAATCCAGAGGCTTCTGCACTGACTCGCCCACGGCCTTGAGCCCCGCAAAGTGGATGACGGCCGTGAAGCTGTGCTGCGGGGACAAGCAGGGTCAGGGCTGCTTCGAAAGGCCTGGCTCTCAGCAGTGCCCCTGCCTAACTCCCAAGCCCCTCTCTCTCTCCCCCACACCTTTTTGAAGAGACGCTCCAGGGCTGCCCGGTCCAAGATGTCCATCTCCTCAAACTCCAGAGAGCGGCCTGTCAGCTCCTGAACCCGCCGCAGGCTCTCAGGCGTGGACCCGCCTCCTGGCCGGGCACACAGAGGCCATCAGAATCAGAGATGGGTCCTGGGGACTAGCCACACACACACCCGTTGGAGGCAGTACCCAGGGTTCCTTCCGTCCCCTCCGGAAGCCCAGCCCCCACCCCACACTTGCCGCGGATGGCATTATGGAAGTTGTCGATGACCACGGGTGAGTAGCCCGCCTCCAGCAGCTCCAGCACCGTGTGGCTGCCGATGTAGCCAGCCCCGCCGGTTACCAGCACCTTTTCTGCCATTGCACCTGGAGCAGAACACAGAACACTCAGCTCCTTCCAAATGGAGTCTGGCCTCGGAGGGAGGCAGCAGTGCGTCCTAGTTAACAGGGTGGCTCTGGTGTCAGCCTGGTCCAAGTCTGGTACCATCGTGTTCTGGCCTTAGGCCTTGGAGATCACTTGTGTGTAATCTGGCTCCTGGGCCTCCCTGTACACAGCCCCCCTGACTCAATCCCTCAGGGGTCAGCTGGGAGGGAGCAGGGTGGGGTCCTCTGCCAGGCAGGCTGAGTGAGCCCAGCTCGGGCTGCAGCACTGCTGTCCTGGCATTGGCCCCACCCCACCCCAGGCCGGCCGGGGCCAGCCGGATCACTGGGTTTGGAGCTAAGGGTCCCGCCCAACTCTAGTCCTCACTGAGCTGGCCGGTGTAGACGTGGCCTTGGCATCCACTCCACTGCAAGGTGTGCACCCCGCCCTGAACAAACTCGGCACAGAGCGGATGGAGGGAGAAGGAAGCTCCAGACACTGAGTCCTTTCATTGGGGAGGCCTGGCCCGCAGCCGCCGCCTCTGGCCAGGCTGCCTCCAGTGCCTCCTGGGCTATCCAGCCCTGCCCAAGTTGGCTGAGCGACCTCGCTGAACCTAGCACACTTTTGCATTATTTCCCTGAATTCTCCCAGCGTCCCGATGAGGCGATGTTCTCACTGGCACTTTACAGACAGGGATAGTAAAGTCAGGGAGGTGAAGTAATTTGCCTGCGGTGACACAGTTTGTGGTAGCTGAGCTAGAATCCGGATCTCCAGCTCCCAAGCATTTGGCCTTTTACCCCACTGCTTCCCGCTGGACTCTGCTCCGGATGCCGAATCCTCCCCCACCCCCACTCCACCGAGGTCCGTGGGAAAGGGGGTCGCGGAGGGTACCCTGGGAGGCAGGCAGGAAGGTGGATGAAACGGTCAACCCGCCCGGCCGGCGGGGAGACCCAACTCAGCTACCGCGTCCTTGGTTTCCCCGGTCTGCATCAGGGATGGGAGGGGGCGCTGGGTCTCCGGCAGGAATGGGGTCCCGGCCAGGAGTCCCCAGGCTGGGAATGAATGACCCCTGGCCACCCAGCCACGGCAGCGGGAGCGGGGCGCCACGGGGCGAGCCCTGGCGTTACAGCCCGGCCCCCGGAACTCTCCCTCGCTCCCCGCGGACCACCGGCCCCTCGCGAGCCCGCCCACCCGGACCCACACCCCCTCCCAAACCTGTTGGACCGCGCGTCCCGCGCTGCCTCCAGCGGTGCCGCCTCCCGCACCTCGGCCCCTTTAAGGGCCAACAGCCCGCCTAGCCCCGCCCCCTCCACTCCTCAGCGAACGTGTCGATCGGAAACCGAACTACGGGGCGCCGGTAGGACCAAGGAGCTGCGGTACAAGGCGCCTGCGCGCGCTCCCGCGGAGGCCGGCAGTGGGCGGCCCGGCCCGCGCGGGAGCGGCTGGTGGAGGGGTGAAGAGGGGGAGGGGGGGGAGGGGCGGGGCGGCCGGACTCGGACCCGAGCGCTCGTCTCCACCCCCGCCTGGAAGCGGCGAGGGCTGCGCGCCGGGAGAGGCTTGTCGGGGGCGCCTGGCGGATGGACCGCGGCGGGAGCCACAGGCCGGAGCGGGGCCGACCAGCTACCTCCTGGCTCCCGGCAGGTGCTCCGACCCTTTTGTATCTGCCAAGCCGTTTTTTAGTTGTGTGAAGACAGCTGCGTGGAACGAAGGGAGAAGGAGATGGTGCCGTAGCCCAGAGGCTCAGGTGCTGGGAATCTAGTTGGAAAACCCACTCACCTGGAGGGACCTCTGCCGCTAGTTCAGCCTTCATACAAACTAGTCCCCCAGCTGCTGGGGACGGCTGGTCTGCACCTGCCTCCCACAGCCGGTTAAAAGTGGTTGTTTCTGTTTAAGATAAAGGTAGGGCTCGGCGTTTATTCCTATCCTGCCTGGGGGAGCAGCAGGTCAGCCACGGAAATCTGCTTTGCCCCCCACCATACACCTGCTGCTTGTTCTGGGCTGTAAACATTGCACAGCTCTGCTGCCTGGAGGCAGGATGCCTTGGGACAGAGGGAGGTAGAGTAGGTCACTGAACAGTGGGTTGGAGTTTAGAGGGAGGTGGGGGTTCAAGCTCTGGCCAAGCATGCCCAGGCGTTGCACCTGTGCCGAGTTGCTGAAATAACCTTTGTAACCTTTGGGTTGTCATTGTAAATGTCCTAACTCCCTCTTGTGGATTCTGAGTATAAATTTGCTGTAACACCTAAGGTCTGCACTGCAGTGCGGCCTTTACCACAGTAGAATGCATCAACTGTAGTCACTGGCCAGTTTAATAAAGGCTCATAAATGTTAAAAAAAAAAAAAAAAAAAAAAAAAGGTAGGGCTCGGGAATGAGGTGTATAAAGGCATGACATGCTGAGTGATGAAATCCGAGCAAAGAAATAAATGCACAAGTGTGTCCCAAAACCTGGAACGCTCTGGGCTTACTTACCAAGGACGGCTGGCCGCAGAGCCTGAGTACAAGGAACTAAGGTACCCAGACCTGCTCCAGCCCAGACACCGAGGAGCATCTGGCCACCGCTGCCTGGGGGAGCTTGTGCCATAGCCCTGGTCTGAGCCAAGAGCAAGCCCAAACCACTGATTTCCAGTCACTGCTTCTGAGGCTCAGGTGGAGAAACGGAGAAAAATCCAAAGATTAGCCTGCATTTTCCTCTCCGAGTTCGAATAAAGATGTTTTGTTCCTCTGCTCTCATATATACACACATCTGCAGAGTACTGGAATGGTTCCATGTCATTAAACCTTTAATTACATAGCTGTTTTCAAAAATCATATTCAGAGTGATTTTGTCAGGTGCTAAGTTGGCAGGTGGCCAATGCAGAAGCTCAGCCCTCAGCCCTCCAGCAAATGCCCTCTGCCGGCTCAGGGAAAAAGTCCATGCCTTTTGCCCTACAAAGTCAGAGCAATGGCACCAAGGCCACGGCAGGGTTCTGCTGTGTAGCCACTTGGCAGATGTCACCCAGAGGTAAGACATGAGGATCAACACAAGCCAGGGAATTGGGTTCCCAAGTGTCCTCAACTCCTGGGTCCATCGTGAAGGGAAGCCTCTGGCCCCCTGAGGTGCCTGTTCCCGATCACGTCATCCCCATTTCCGTGTGTCCATCAGTGAGTCATTAGACGTGCCCCTCTTCCCACAGTCCCTAGAGCTTCAGGTGGGCAAGGGGCTCACAGCTTACAAGTGGCCTGAGCCACTTTGGAGCTGGTTTTTCTGTTCAGGGCTTGACAGATAAAGTTTCCAGCTTCCAGGAGCTTCTGGAAGTTCACACCCTTTGAGAAACAAGTTGGAAGATGCAGTAAGTCATGACATGCCCTCAACACCCAGGGAAACATCAGATTGGACAGATCACTGTGACACTAAAAAAGTAAAGGTGGCCAAAACCGGTTTGGCTCAGTGGTAGAGCATTGGTCTGTGGACTGAAAGGTCCCAGGTTCGATTCCGGTCAAGGGCATGTACATTGGTTGCGGGCACATCCCCAGTAGGGGGTGTGCAAGAGGCAGCTGGTCTATATTTCTCTCTCATCGACGTTTCTAGCTCTCTCTCCCTTCCTCTCTGTAAAAAATCAATAAAATATATTTTAAAATAAATAAATAAATAAGTAAAGGTGGCCCTGGCCAGTGTAGCTTGGTTGGATGGAGCATCCTTTCATCAAAAGGTGGTGGGTTTCATTCCCGGTCAGGGTGCATACCCAGGTTGCAGGTTCCATCCCTGGTTGGGGTACGTGTGGGAGGCCAACCAATCAATGTTTCTCACATTGGTGTCTCTCTCTTTCTCTCTCGATCTTCCTCCCTAAAATAAAAATGTTTTTAATGAAAAAGTGAAGGTGCAGACAGACAGGTTCTTGTTCCTCTGATGATGGACACCAGCTAGCTGCCTGAGGTCATGTCCTTCTGGCATCGGGCCCCCCTATGACTCTCCCTGTTGAGGATGCCTCAACCTGTCATGCCACCACCAGAAAAGGAATCTCTGTCGTCAGTATTCCGTCTGCAGGGCCTACCACAGGACCTGGCCCACTGTGGTCAAAAAGTACATATTGAAGCAATGAACTGTGAGGCAGAGTAAAAACACCTCCTGAAGGGGCCACTCCAGAAAACCTGTTCATGGCAATAGCTCCTATTTACTCATGTGTACTGTGTGCTCAGTTCTGGGCTAAGCATTCTAGGTTTTCTTAGTTAATCTTCATAACGGCCCTTCAGGATAGGTGCTATTATCATGCCCATTTCTTAGGCCCGGAGAGGTGAAGTAATGGTCACACAGCCTGTGAGTGGCAGGACAAGGTTTTAAACCCGGGTCCGTCTGATTCAAAGCACGGCTGCTGAGCTTCCAACCCACACTGGCTACCCTTACTGACCCTGACAGAGCCCTGGGGGCAGGCAGGAGGTGGGGGGAGAGCTGGCTAATTCTACAGAGAACAAAACAAAGGTCTAGAGACAGTGACTCAGTTCAGGTCACACACCTGACCTCTTTGGGGGGCTCTTTCCTTATACCCGGTGCCTCTTAAACTGAACTGTCAAACTGACACTGAGAGCCTGGCCTTCTCCGGGCCTGGATCACCCACACTCTGCTATCTCAAAAGTATAGAATAGTCCCCTGGCTCCCTTCCCTTCTTACCTGCTCTCCTTCCCTCCACTGACCCCTCAAAAACCGTAACTAAACACGCCCATCAGCTCTGTCCTCTGGCTGGTCAGGGCTGTGGCCACAGGGGAGACGAGCTTACCGTGTGAATGCCCAAGCCCTCCAGCATGTAGACCAGGTCCTCGGTGGCCAAGTTCCCCGACGCCCCCTGTGCATAGGGACAGCCTCCCAGTCCGGCCACAGAGGAGTCCACGACACTCACTCCCATCTGGGAACAAGAGGGTGGTGGCACAGGGCTGTCACCGTGGGGGCCAAAGCCGACAAAGCTGGTCCCTATAAACCTCCCACCGCTGCTGCCTGCACTTCCATCGCGGGCTCTTCGTCCCTTCGGCTTATGATTCTGGTGAGGAGGAAATCCCACTGGAAGGGCGTGTTTCTCTCTCTAGCTCCGGGCCGGTGAGTCTTTTTGGTGTACACTGTTTCCTCTGCCAGGAACACCCCCACTCAGTTCCTTCAATGGTTTCAAGGTTCTGTCTTACCCTTACGGTCTCAGCCGGCAAGTCACTTCCTCAGAGAGGCCCTTCCTGATCATGACCCTCAGTCACCGCCTCCCGCTGAGGGGATTTCGGATCCCTGTGGTTCACTGTGATTCACTGATGCGCCCTCTCTCCCAAGGCTGCTCTCCAACCCCAGGGCCCAGCCATTCGCCAGGTCAGTCATGTCCTGCTCTCTTAGACGGCTGTTCCCTTCTCCTCCTTAGGCTTCTAACAGACCTTAACTACCACAACCCTGAGAAAACAGACCCAGGAAGTAGTAGAATCACCTGACATGAGCCTCTCCCAAGGACAACAGGGTGGAGTGAGATGAACGCTATTGGTGGTCAGACACCGAGAACGTTCCTTCTAATGGGCGGCCAGGCCATGGGCTCCTCACAGAGGACCAGCTCACAAGAAGAAGCCTCACGGGAAACCCAATCTGAAGTTTCGGTCTGATCTCGGGAAAGCAGCCTTAAGGCTCTCCCTCTGACCTGGGCCTACCTCTCCACTGCCTGGCTCCTCGCCTGCTGCTCCCACAGAGGCTGGCACACTCAAACCCACATGCCATCCAGGACCGGGCACAGCAGTCCTCCCCGGACCTTCCCTCAGTCTTAGAAGGCAGTGCTGCCAAGCCACCTCTGCTCCCCTGTTCAGCTGCTGGTCCTTCAAGCCTCACTTAGGCCTCTTCCGGCAAATCCTCCCAGCTGGGGCAGGGACCCTCCTCAGCCTGTGCTTCCTTCGAGCATTCGTCATAACGCAGTAGGATTATCCCCCAACTCTCCCTCTGTCCCCCTCACACACAGACTAAGAACTTCTGGCTCAGGGTCACATGTCTGTGTCCATCATGGTGAGCCCAGGGCCTGTCAGGCAGGTAGGCTTGCTGAAAGCACAGGTGAACACAGCTGTCCTGCCGCCACGTCCTTTGAGAAGGGACACATGCCTTTCTCCTGGGACATGCCTGGATTACCTGCAGGGCCATCAGGGTGTTGGCCAGGGCCTGGCCATAGGTGTCATGACAATGGACAGCCAGGGCGGCCACGGGCACCTCCTGCATGACGGCGGACAGCATGTCCTTCATGATGCCAGGGGTGCCCACGCCAATGGTGTCCCCCAGGGAGATCTCATAGCAGCCCATTGAGTACATCTTCTTGCTGACCTGGGAAGACAAACAGTCAGATGGAGGACATCAGATTCCCCAAGCCCAGGGTCCCAGGCTCCGAAACAGGGGTCCTTGGCCTGTCCAGAGCATCTCCTGTCTGAGCACTAAACCAACCAAACGGGTCACAGGCTCCTTACCACTTTGAGGGGAAGGATATTCCTCATTCTTCTCATCAGGACACCGGGATGTCAGGGGCAGGCTCTGGGCTCCGACCCCTGTGCTTTCCCCCACCCGGGTCTCAGACCCCAGTCCTTCCCTTACCCCCTCCATACACGGTGGCAGACCCACCCCTGGAATAAGTAAACTGACCCCCGCCTTGTAGTCCTGTCCTTGGTGGGAAGATCGGTGAAATCACGAGTCAGCGGTGCCAGCTTTGTGTTTAACAGAAGTACATGACTACGTAAATGTTCAGGAGCCCGTTTACAAAGCCCCAAATCACTGCACACCAGAGCAGTGTAAGGCCGGCCCGAGTTGCTGCTTCCCTGCACCGCGCTGTGAGAAGGTGGAGGAAGGATGTGGCGGGGCCCGCACTCGGCAATGGTCCTCGGCGTAAAGGAAGTGGTGAGGAGTGACAGCAGCCGCAGCCCGTAGGGCAGAGGGACAGCAGAAGGAGCGGCTCTGAGTGAGAGACACTGGCTTAAAGTCCCCGTTCTGCTGCTCATGAGCTGTGGGATCTTGGCCAGGGCTTAACTTCCCCGAGCTGCAATTTCTGCTTCGAAGGGCTTGGTGACAACAGGAGGCTGAGCCATGAGCACAGCAGGCACTCTCAATCCCAGGTGCCACTGCTACCAGTCCGCATTTTTGGGTGCCACATGATTTTGGGGAAGAGCAAGCAGGAGGTAAACGAGATGGGGGTGGAGACCTGGTGGCATCACGGGCAGCCTGCATGGCAAGTTAGCCGATCTCAACAGTTATAGCGCGTTTGCAGGGTGGATCTGAGGACTAAATAGTACCATGAGCTCTTGCGTCACTCACACTCAAACTCAGTTTCCACACTGTGTCCTCAGGGCTGACTTGGTTGCTGCTCAGAGGATGTGAAGTGGCCTCTCTGACTCAGACAAGACACCGGAAGGACCCTGGCCGGGATGGGGGGCGGGGGGAGCGCCAGGGCAGGAACCTCTCCAAAAAGGACTATGGTATCACCTCAATAATCGCCTGTCCGCTAACCAGACTGGAAACTCAACTGGAGGAATTTACTCCGAGGGGAGGGCAGGGTGCTAACAAGGAAGTCAGTGACTCGTCAGGAAAGAGTGGCGAGAGGAACCTACGCACTCAGGGGCAGGCAAGGAGGCCAATCCCCCCCACCCAACCCTGACCCTCACACACACCTCAGCTACTTTGGCTGGGGAGATCTTCCCTTCATAGGGACATCCAAGCACACAGGAGACGTACCTGTGGGAAGACAGGGGGACGGTGTCAATGCCCCTGGTTCTTTGGTCAGCAGGGCTGTCTGACACACATTCCCGGTTAGCCCGAAATCAAAAGCCGAACCTGGGCAGGGGGCCCAGTGCCTGGAAAGGCTAAGCCGACGATGGGAGCCAGAACGAAGGTCGTGCTGCTTAGTGCCGGGAGGGGGCAGTGGAGAGCCACCGCAGGGAAGGGAGGGACTAACAGGCCTGTAGTTCAGGAAGCGGGGGTGGCATAGGTTCTGGAGAGGCAGCCTGAGACCAGCTGGGAGGAGGAGCTGGGGAGGGCACTATGAGCAGGGCCGTGGGAGGTGGGTAAAGCAGAGCATGGGCCAGAGTAGCTGAGGCCCATCTGCACAGGAGGGGACCGGGGACCCGTGAAACCAAAGGCAGGGGTAAGAGCTGGGCTGGCTGCTCCTGTGAGCTGCCAGACAATTCATTCACTCATTTATTCAACTGATATTTACCGAGGTGCCCACTATTTACCCAGCATAGGGTAGCTCAGTGAGCAAGACGGACAAGGACCCCACCCTCACAGTGCTTATTTCAAATCCAGGAGAGAGCTGATTAAAGGACAATCAAATGAGTCAACGAGATAATCTCAGAAAGTGAGCGCTAACGAAGGAAAGGACAGGGAATGCGCCAGGAACAAATATATCAACAGTGGCTGGGTGACTCGAGAAGACCTCTGTGAAGACAGGACGCTGAGCTGGGAGACGGGGACGGCCACATTCCCAGCAGAGCAGGTGTGTTTAAGACACAGAATAGCCGAAACCTGTTTGGCTCAATGGATGGAGCGTCGGCCTGAGGACTGAAAGGTCCCAGGTTCGATTCCGGTCAAGGGCATGTATCTTGGTTGCGGGCACATCCCCAGTAGGGGCGTGCAAGAGACAGCTGATCGATGATTCTCTCTCATCCATGTTTCTAACTCTCTATCCCTCTCTCTTCCTCTCTGTAAAAAAATCAATAAAATATATTAAAAAAAAAAGATTTTCCTCTTTAAAAAAAAAAAAGATGCAGAACAAAGGAAGGAACAGCTGAGGCATGGAGAGCAAGAGGCAAAGAAGTAGTAATGGAGAGCTGGATCCTATGAACTAAGAGCAAGAGGCAAAGAAGTAGTAATGGAGAACTGGGTCCTATGAAGTTTAGGTCTTGGATGGAGGTGGTCTTGGATGGAGGCGGCTCCTGTTCCCTCCCACACCACTGGGCCTGGGGCTCCACTAAAACCTTTTATATATATATATTTTATTGATAGAGAGAGAGAGTATCGATCAGCTGCCTCTTGCACACCCCCTACTGGGGATATGCCCACAACCAAAGTACATGCCCTTGACCGGAATCGAACCCGGGACCTTTCAGTCTCCAAGCCGACGCTCTATCCATTGAGCCAAACCGGTTTCGGCTCCGCTAAAACCTTTTAGAGTCTAGAAAACTATGCTGCATATTCAGAGGCATAACAAGTATTTCCTAGTTAAATAACTTCAGCCTCAAAGATCTCAGTATATTTTTCTTTTCTGTTTTTTAAAATTCTCACCAGAGGATACATTTTTTTTTTTTTACTGATTTTGGGGAAGAGAGAGAAAAAACATTGATGTGAAAGAGAAACATTGATCAGTTGCCTCCCCTACACAACTGGTCTGGGATTGAACTCACAACCTGGGTATATGGCCTGACCGGAATCGAACCCACAATCTTTCGGTGTATGGGACAACACTTCAACCAACTGAGCCAGTGGGCCAGGGCTCAGTATATTTTTCCATTTAAATTCTCCCCCTTACTTTCCAATTGTTGCTGAGCAGGGGCAAGTTAAGAGAGATACTGAGAAAAGAGGACAGGCTTGGGTACAGGCAGACCTGACAAGCCCCTGCTTCCCCATCCATCCATCTGCCCATTGGTTCCTGAGCACCTACTGTGTGCTGGGCCTTGAGCTGGGAGAGGGGGCACACCTGGATGGACAGAAATGTGTGTTCAGTCTAGTGGGGTGGGAGGCAGGAAGTGATTTAGCAAGTGGCCAGGTGCTATGTTAGAGGATGTCTAAGGAACTATGGGAGCCCCGAGGAGCACCAACTCCTTGGAGAAACTGGCATCCATGAGAGGACCCGAAGGGTGGACAGAAGTTAGTCCTGACAATTAGAATACAGGAGGAAAGGGGTGCTGGGTCTATGGAAAGTGTGTGTAAAGGCTCAGAGGCAAGGAACAGGCTAGATGAGGCTATGAACAAGGAGGTTGCATGGAGAGCAGCGGCTGACTCACTCACACAGGGTCTTGTGAGCCGAGTGGAAAGGTCTGGAGTTGTGCCAAAACCGGTTTGGCTCAGTGGATAGAGCGCTGGCCTGCGGACCGATTCCGGTCAAGGGCATGTACCTTGGTTGCGAGCACATCCCCAGTGGAGGGGTGCAAGAGGCAGCTGGTCGATGTTTCTCTCTCATCGACGTTTCTAACTCTCTATCCCTCTCAATTCCTCTCTGTGTAAAATCAATAAAATATATTTTTTTTTTAAAAAAAGGAAAGTCTGGAGTTGGGAATCGCTGTAAGGTGTCTAACCAGGAAGTGATGTGGTCAGATGTGCATTTTTAAAAAAAATCGAGGCTGTATTTTTATTGATTTTTTAGAGGGGGAAAGATGGGGAAAAGGCCGGGGGGAGGGAGATGTGAGACACACTGATCAGTTGCCTCCCATATTCACCCAACTGGCAATCGAACCCAGTGCATAGGCCATGCTCCAGCCACCTGAGCCACCCGGTCAGGGCCAGATGTACACTCTGAAAGCACTCTGGCTGCGATGTGGACAGCTGTGTGACCTCCCAGCAGGCTCTCCATCCTTCTGAGCCTGTCTCATCACCTGTAAGTGGGGCCAGTCCCCTCCCTGCTGGCCTGTTGTGAAGTTATGTGTGACGATTCCTGGCACTGCTGCTGTTGAAGATGTGTCCTGGAGACTTAGGAGGCATAGGGGATTCTTCAGAAACGTGGGAAGAGTTGGCGGTGTAGCCAGGAGAAAACTGACCTCCACAAGATGTGTCTAGTGTCCTGAACTACTAGGCTTCCTCTGGTGAACTGACCCAAAGACCAGGTTTGGAGAAAGGGCTCGCTAGGATTTCTGCTTGGGGAGGGATGTCAGGGTGTGGAGCGTGGGCTGTCTGCCCACAGGAGGAGTTGGTGTGGGGGAGGTGACTGGGGTCAGAGGCTGGTACTGGCCAGCATGGCCCTGAGGAAGGACAGGCCGCACCGATGGGTCTGACTCACCCCCGCACAGGGATGCCGGCTGCCTGCGCTGCCTTCAAGATCTGGTCAAACCGCTGCAAACTTTCATCTATGGAGCAGTTGATGTTCTTCTTGGTGAAAAGCTCGGAGGCAGCTCCGAAGATGCTCACTTCCTTGGCTCCAGCAGCCACCTGCCAACAGCCAGGGGAATACCTGTGAGCATTTTCCTCTTCAAGGAACCCAGAGTGACAAAACCCTTGTCTTACTGTGAACTGGATGATATATGAATCTGATGGATAGAATTTTGTCTCCCCAAGAAAGGTATATTGAAGTCCTAAACCTCAGCACCTCGACATGTGTTCTTATTTGGAAACAGGGTCATTGCAGAAATAATTTATTAAGATGAGGCCATATTGGTTCCTCTCTAATGACTGGTGTCCTTATAAGACAGGGGCCATGTGAATACAGAGAGACAGGAGGGGAAGGCCAGTGAAGGTGGAGGCAGAGATTGGAGCGATGCACCTACAAGCCAAGGATGTCAATGATTGCTGGCGGTCACCAGAAACTAGAAGAGAGCATGGGACAGATTCATCCCAGAGCCCTCAGAAGAAACCAACCCTGACATCTTGATTTCAGACTTCTAGCCAACGGAACTGTGAGAGGATACATTTTTGTGGTTTTCAGCCACCAAGATTTTGGTATTTTGTTATGGCAAGTCTAGAGAATTAATACAGTGAATTATCCTATATAATAAAAGCCTAATATGCTAAATGTCCAGTCATCCATTCAACTATTATCAAAGCGTAATATGCTAATAATATGCTAAGGCCACTCAATCGCTTGCTATGATGTGCACTGACCACCAGGGGGCAGATGCTCTGACCAGTAGGTTAATTTGCTGCTGGGGTCTGAATGAGCAAAAAGGGCTAGACATGCCCTGGAGCCCTCCTGTGGTCGCTCTCCAGCTGGCCAGCCTCCCACATTGCTCCTTGACCCCAATCGTGCATCCATGGGTCCTTCCCCCAACCAAGTGCATGAATTTTGTGCACTAGAGGCCTTATTGTGATACTAAGGAAACCTTGATCTTCCCTCAGAGACCAACACTGCCCCTGCCATCACCACTCTGGAAGTCAGTCAACTTGGAATCCATATCTCCAATGATGTTCTCATCTAAAGTTATAAGAAAGATTCTAGCAACTATGGGTCTCAAAAGAACTGATGGCCCAGAAAGAAGCTCACTACAGACTGATGCATATGCCTTTCCGCATAACGATTATTGCTTGTCTCATTTTTTATTCTTATATTTCCAGTTGGACATGATCTCACTCATCTAGGGGAAATGGTGAACCGCATAGACTGATGAACAAGAACAGACCCAGAGATAAGGAGCCATGGGTCAGACTGTTGGACCTCAAAGGGAGGATGGGGATAAAAGGGAGAGATCAAAAAGGACTTATGTGAACATATATGAGCCTAACCAGTGGTCAAGGACAATAAGAGGGGGAGGACATATATGTGATATCTTAATAAATAAAGAAATTAATTAAAAAAATAAATAAAAAAGCAGTAAAAAAAAAAAGATTCCAGCAACTACTGTTGAAGCTCTGTAGAGTGCTTGCTTACTTTTCTCAAAAGAGAAAATGGGTAAGAGCAACAAAACCCATTGATTAAGCACTTATCTTCACAATGTTACCCTATCATGAAGCCTATTTTGTAGGCGGAACCTGAGGCCTGTCAATACCAGAGACTAGGAATAGCCAGGCCAGGACTGCGTCGGTCTGTCTGACTGTGGTCATCCCCACTGGAGACAGCCCTCAGACAGATGGCCCAGGACAGGGACTGAGGCCCAGGGACAGGCAGGACCAGCGCCATCAATCTCATTTCAGGGCCCCCACCAACAAGCTTACCGCTGCCTGATAGCCTTTGAAATTTGGGGTCAGGACAGGGTAGTTAATGCCAGGAAACTTCTGGATGCCCTTCAAGACTTCGATGTGGTCAGCCATCTGGAGCCAAAGGAGACACAGCAGAGTCATCACCACGGGCAGGCAGAGAGCTCAGGTACACAAAACAGTTTTATCACAAGATTTGTGTTCTCAGGCCCTTGAGAAGGAGTCCTTCCACAGAGCTGCGTCTCCCCACGGTTTTTATTGTTTGTGTGACTGCTGATGGGCCAGGAGGCCCCGGGGTGTGGGCAATAGCCCCAATGCCTCCATGTGACCGGTACTGTCAGCTTTACATAGCCGTGACCGCAGTAACAACGCTGCCAGGCACTACTGAGAACACACTCCAAGCTGGGCGCTGGGCTCAGCTCCTCTGTCTTATCACACTCAGCCAGGACAGAATCTTTCTTCCCCACTGACTGTCTCTGTGAAGCAGGCAGAATCCACAGGCCAGGCCAAGGAATTCTAGATGTCCAGGGCCAGGCGAGGTCACCGTCATCCTGTAGGCCTTAGCAAGGTCACCAAGCATTTCGGGGGCAGAGTCCAGACTGAATCCAAGCCTCCTGCCTCCCAGGTTACAGGCCCCTGAAAGCCAGAGACCAGGAAACCTATGTTCCTGACTTCCACGTCCTCTTCCAGGGCAAATGCAAACCTTTCCATCCTTCACGTCTGGACAACTCTCACTGAGGCGGGCTCACCTGAGGAACCCACTTGGGGGACACAAAGCTGGTGGCTTCTATCACGGGGAGTCCCGCTTCAGAAAGCATGTCTATCATCCTGATTTTCACTGGAGTAGGGACGATATTCTGTAATGGGAAGACAAACACCAGAAGAGACAGCTCAGCGGAGGTGGGAGGCAAAGGGCCTCAGCAAGCAGTGCCTGTTAGTTCAAAGTTTCTGCTTCAGCAAACACTTGCCTATCTCAACTTGTAAATACTAATATGAATTCAATGGAATCCTCACCAATAGATAGGGTACAGGGCATCTTCAAATTCTACAGATAGCATTCTGCAGTGGAGACAGCTTATCATCCGAAAGGGAGTTAATACTTACCTGGAAACCATATTTTTCTGCCATACAGGCTTTTTCTTAACTAAAAGTTTGTTAATTTATTGCCCCATCATAAACAAACTGAGAGCAATGAACCCTGGCCGGAAAGGGCAGAGATGACTAACCTTCTGGTTCTTAGGAGACGGGGCCCCCAAAATACTACATCCTCTTTTTCCATCTCCCAAGTGGCACAGGATCTCATCCTCACAAGGTCAGCCTACTGTTTCTCTCCCTCCCCACCATGTCTATTTGCTAAGCAGCTTCTATAGATCCTTCTTTCCAAACCTAATACCACTGTCCCGTTACCCCAGGTATAGGATGGCCTGGTCTCACTCCACCAGTTCACCCCACAGGAATCATCCTAGAACACTTTCCACTGCCTCACTCTACCACTGTAAAGCCTTCCGTGGCTCCCTAGTACCTACAGGACCAGGTAAAAAATCCCAAGGATTTCAAGTCCCTCCTTACCCTCCGCCACGATTTCTCTTGCACTGCTTTGATGTAATCTATTCCACAGATAATTTTGCTTCATATTCCAGGGATTGTGCTAGGTGCTAGGCGGTGCTGCAATGAGCAGACAGACATGACTCTGCCCTCATGGGACTTATAGTTTTTGTTTCTAACACGTGCTCAACATTAAAATTAGGCTGACCATACTTAAAAAAAAAAAAGCTTTCTTAATGCAAAAATAGTTAATACATGATTGTTTCAAAAACACATGCCAAAAAAAAAAAAGAAGAAAACCACTCTAAACAGCTCCTAGATATGTAACTTTCTACATACTAGCCATACATGGTTATATAAATTTAAATTTAAATGACATGAAAATAAAAATTCATGCTAGTCACATTTCAAGTGCTCATTAGCCACATGTGTTTGTCTAGTGGCTACCACATGGGGGAGCTCAAGTCTGGAACATTTCTATCTACAGGAAAGTCTACTGGACAGCACTACTCCAATTTTCTTCAGGTGGTGAGGAACATCCCCAAGGTTAAATCTTTGCATGTGGCCTTCATGACTTCCTCTGGATAAATCACACCATATCCCCACCTCAGCACTCATCATCCACCCCACCCCCCTGGGCCTTGAAATGGACCTGGGCCTATCATACCTGTTGCACCATCATAGACTGTTTAGCAGTCACAGGAGCTGCCTGTTCTCCCCACCAAGCTCTAGGTTGGGTAGAGTGATCATGTCTTTCATGGATAGCTCTGTCAGTCCATCCTTTCTGCACCTACCCTGCCACACAAACTCTCAATGCTCAAAAACAACTTTTGCGGTTGATTTCCCACTTTACCTTTTCATTCTGTAGTCCATCTCGGGGACCAACTTCCACAATTTTCACCCGCTTTGGGAACGTACTCAGAGATGAGGTGCTGGCCTGTGGTTTAAAAGAATAAGCAAAAAGTAAAATAGGAACAGACTGTCACAATTCCCCAGGGGGTGTACACACTCACACACGAGGAAGAGGTGATGTGACCACTCCCGCAGTTGGAAAGAAATGAAAGCACTTTGATTTTTCCCATGGGGACTTATGGGGCTTGCTGTGCAATATTAGAGTGGTGTTTTACCATACTTTTTTTTGGGTACATTTTTTTTGGGGGGGATGTGGGAACCCTTAACACGACCCTCGTGATTCAGGGCCCACTCAGGGTCCGGTTTCTGGAGGAGGCCACACACTAAAATGAAGAGACTAGAAAAGAGTTAATTTGGGACAAATGGGGGGCCAGGCGGGAGTCAACCTGTAGTGGGAAGACTCTCTAGGCTCTGGCCTCGCTACCCCTTTTATTGAGGCTGCTATGGGATACACCCATTACCCTTTAGCAGCTTTGGGAAACATCCATAGCTCTGAGGCAAGTAATAAGCAGATTATCATATCAGTAAGGATTTACATGATTACAAGATGGGGAAGTTGCCTCAGTTACTATTGTCTCAATTAGATAGGGTATGGTTGGCTCTGACCTTTCAGAGCTTCAAGGTTGACCAGCCTCTTTCTATTAGTGAGACAATGATTGGTTTCTGGCAGGGGGAACTCATTACTTATTTATTTAAAAATATAGCTGAAACCAGTTTGGCTCAGTGGATAATGTTAGCCTGTGGACGGAAGGGTCCCCGGTTCGATTCCTGTCAAGGGCATGTACCCAGAGGAGGGTGTGCAGGAGGCAGCTGACCGATGTTTCTAACTTTCTATCCCTCTCCCTTCCTCTATGTGGAAAAAAAAAAATCGATAAAATGTATTTAAAAAATATTTTAACTGGCTTTTAGAAAGAGACAGACAGATATCTTTTTGCTCCAACTCATTATGCATTGGTTGATTCCTGAATGTGCTAGGACTCACCTAGATGCCTCTAATCAACTGAGCCAGCCTTCCAGGGCTTGGAACTCATCTATAATAATAAAAGCGTAGTATGCTAATTAGACCAGCCGGCCTTGGCCTTCCGGACAACCTTCCGGACTAATCCAGGGCAGCAAGGAAAGCACAGTCTGGCTTCCAGAGGCAGCAGAGGGAGAAAGGCTTACTTTTGCACGAATTTCATAAAATTTTGTGCATCGGGCCTCTAGTTATTGTAATACTGGAACAGATGTAAACCCCTAACTTACACTCCTCTTCATTCCTTTCTCCCTGTGTGACTGTGGATGTTGCATAACGAAACCAAATAAACACATGAAGTGTGGGGCAAATCTGAAGGAATGGATCCACCTTTGCAAATACTGGGACCAGAAGCAACATTTCTCACTATTTAACTCACCTTTGGTCTGTTCTAGAATTAAGAGCAGAAGGAATATTTCACTTAGACACAGGAATAACCAAGAGCACGGCTCCCCGTGCAGGCCCACCCCCAACTTCCTGCGGTCCGGACATTCCCCACTGCCCCGCACTGCCCAACAGGTGAGCCCCTGGGCGCCGGGCGGGACCACCTTGCTTCTCCCGGCCGGAAGCGGAAGCGGAAGCGGAGGGCTACTGGTGACTCTTCACTGAGCAAGAGCTGGAGAGTCCGCAGAGCAATTACCGGGAGAAAGGTACAAGGGTCCGGGGAAGAGCCCTGAATAGGGAATTAGGACAGCAGGCAAGTCGCCCCCACCTCTGGGCCTCAGTTTCCCTCAGGACCCGCCAGGGATGGGGAGTACACAGAGAGTCTTCAAACTTCAAGGTCCACCTGACTGGCCTGCGGGGCTCTCCGGCCTCACTTCTCACAACAGCCGACACGAGCCACGTCCCCGCCCCGAGCGTCACGGTGCAGCGCGGCCGCCCGCCCCCGGGCGGGGCACTTACAGCCCTGACGGCCGCCAAGCCCACCAGCCTCTGCCGCATCGACCCCCTCATGGTCGCCATCATGTCTCAGCTGACCCTGCGGAGGCCCACGTGACCACCCACCTCCAGGTGGGCGTGGTCCGGCGGTGACGCTAACGCCCGCCCTGACCCTGACCCCGCCCCCCGCCCCTGGCCCCGCCCTCAGCCCCTTCGCCTTCATTCCTCCCGGCGGCTCTTCCTGACCCCATCCAGGGTGTTTCTTTGCCAGTTGAAGTGAGACCCTAGGTCTGTAAAGATGAACAAAAATTAGCCAAAGTTTCTGTCTTCATAGGCTTATTAGAGTCTGGAAGGTGTGGCAAGACATATCAGTAATGTCGATGAAAGAATGGGCAGTCTATACAAAACTCTTATTGTTTATTTGAGCCAAATTTTGAGGACATGCCAGGAAGCAAAATCTCAATGGATTAAGTAAATGCTCTGAATAATGGCAGTTTTTTAACTTTATCCATTAGAATCAAAGAAGGAACCGTAAGGAGGGTTCTATGAAATCTATTGGTGGTAGACTAAGAAGGCACAAGAAACAAAACAAGATGAAACTAACAAAAAGAAGGCAGAAGAAAGCAGGAGGAAATCCCTAGGACTGGATTAAAAGCCAAACGGAGACACTTTCTTTACATTGGTGGGTGCAGGATAGTTAATAACATGCAGGGTACACAGAGATGGTATGTGGTCTCCTGCTCTGTAGTCTTGTGCTTTGGTGCCAGAAGTTATGCCACTGACATTTCAAAGTTACATTATACTAGACCTACAGAGACAATAAATATATAGGCTCAACGTACAAACTGACCTTGGTCAAGTAAGCTATAGGCCTGTGATGCGACCAACCACCATGACCCACGTTAGAAATTTTTATGTTCAGACCATCCTGTATGGTTACTTGCAGTCACCAGTTTGTAAGGCCTGCCATGCACCTCCTCCCTCCCTGAGGTGTCAGGTTGTGGCCCTTTTTTTATTATATGATACTGGTATAATTACTACCTTTCTCAATAAGATGAAGCTTTGCTATTTGCCACACACTGAGTTCTTTGCATGTATTAACTTATTTGTCACTATCTTAGATGCTGGTAGTTGACTCTAGAGCAGGGGTTCTCAACCTTCCTAATGCCTCGAGCCTTTAGTATAGCTCCTCATGTTGTGGTGACCCCCAACCTTTAAAATTATTTTTGTTGCTATATCATAACTGTAATTTTGCTACTGTTATGAATCGTAATGTAAATAGCTGATATGCAGGATGTCTTAGGCGACCCCTGTAAAAAGGATACAAGAAAAGTTTTCCAGCCCTAGCTGGTTTGGCTCAGTGGATAGAGTGTTCCATTCCGGTCAAGGTCACATGCCCAGGTTGCGGGCTCAATCTCCTGTATGATGTGTGCAGGAGGCAGCCAATCAAGGATTCTCTCTCATCATTGATGTTTCTCTCTCTCTCCCCCCCTCCCTTTCCTTTCTGAAATCAATAAAAATATATTTAAAAAAAATAAGCTTTCCAGACAGAGAGCATAGCATATGCAAAGACATTGAATGCTTAGAGTGGTGTTCTCCAACATACATGTTGTGGTCATAATATCAACGTAGTGGATACCAACTTAAAAAAAAAAAAAGTTGTGCATTGTATATGTACTAAGTACTGCTTTGCAAAACTTTTGTTTGTTATTACATATGCCAAATAGGTTGCAATGTAAAATAAATTTCAAACCAGCTAGGGTAGAAATTACATTTTTTGTTCTGCATTAAAGAGGCGTGACTGGTCCTTTTGAAACACAGAAACATAAAGCTATAAGAAGTCCGTAAAGAAACTGAGGAAAAGAGACACTTCTGATCCTCATAGCCAATTGGCTTGGAGATCAACGCTTCCCAGTGATACCAACAACAAGCAAGGCTTAACAACAAGACTGCCCACCCATCCCACAAAGGGCTACACCAAGACTGCCCACCTCAGGTAACTGGGAGGCTGACTCACTGAACCATATAGGACACCTTAGCACACAAAGCCACTCTGCCAACTCAGGAAAGCTGTGAAAATGCCAAGACAAGGAATTAGATCACAAACAAAAGAAATGGAGGAAAAGAAGAGACTGGATATAGAGTTCAAAACCACCCTTATAAGGTTTTTTAAGAATTTCCTAGAAAAGGTCGATAAGACCTATGAGGAGATGAAAAGGGATCAACAAGAACTAATAAGGGATCAACAAGAACTAATAAGGCACATGTGTCAAACACAAGGCCTGCAGGCCAAATCCGTCCCGCCAGGCCTTGCAATGTGGCCCGCACCGCGCTGTCATCACTGCACTCCGCTGCGTTTCCATCACAATGACAGTTTATGACTGTTCAGTAAACCATTCGGCCCGCGATTTAGGCTGGATTTTAGATTTTGGCCCCTTCTCTGATTGAGTTCAACACCCCTATAATAAGGGATTAACAAAAAATAAAGAATACATTGTCTGAAATAAAAAATATTATACAGAGACCTAAAAACAAAATGAAAGATCGTATGAATCAAGTCAAAGATTTGGAACATAAAGAGCCAGAAGATACTCCTCCACAGAAGCAAGAAGTCAAGAGAATCCAGAAAGTTGAAGAGGATTTAAGAAACATCTGGGATAACTTCAAGCGAACCAACATCAGAATTATGGGGGTCCCAGAAGATGAGAGAGAGCAAGATATCGAAAACATACTGAAAGAAATAGTGACAGAAAACTTCCCCCACCTGGTGAAAGAATTAGACTTACAAGTCCAGGAAGCGCACAGAATTCCAAACAAAAGGAATCCAAAGAAGACCACACCAAGACACATCATAATTAAAATTCCAAGAGCAAAAGACAAAGAGAGAATATTAAAAGCAGCAAGAACAAAGCAGGTAGTTACCTATAAAGGAGCAACCATACGATTGTCAGCTGATTTCTCAACAGAAACCATGCAGGCCAGACGAGAATGGCAAGAAATATTCAAGTTAATGAATAACAAGAACCTACAGCCAAAAATAATCTACCCAGCAAATCTATCACTCAGAATCAAAGGCCAGATAAAGAGCTTCACTAATAAAAAAAAGCTAAAGGAGTTCATCACAGCCAAACCAGAATTATATGAATTGCTGAAGGGGGTTCTTTTAGAAGAGAAAGTAAATAAAGATAAAAATTATGAACAACAAATATGTAACTATCAACACGTGAATCTAAAAACCAAGGGAATTAAAAAAAAATCTTATGAACATATTAACTGGTGAATATAATAGAATCAGAGGTATAGAAGGGGAGTGGACTGACGATTCTTGGGGAAAGGGAGAGAGGGGGGTATAGGAAGAGACTGAACATAAACTGTGCACCTATGGATGAGGACAATGGGGGGTGGGGAAAGGGCAGAGGGTGGGGTGGGAACCTGGTGGAGGGGGAAAAATGAGGAACTTTTGTAATAATATGAACAATAAAGATTAAACAGAAGAAAAAAAAAGAAACTGAGGAAAGAAAACGATAACGAGTTTTTTGGTAGAAATCATTTGACATTAAAATTTATTTATTTGATTGTATTTTAAAAAGCAGCACAGAATCATGTCCATTTTCTTCATAGTATCACCGCACAGACTGAATTTCAGAGCCTTGGCTGGCTTTGGAAACTTCCGGAGAGCCATTGGTCTGGCTTGCCTTTTTTTTTTTTTTTTTTCCCCGCTCCAGGCTCTCCCGCTCTCTCAGGGGGTGTGATGGCAGTTGGTGCTAAATAAATGGCATGTGGTTGAGCTTGCCAAACCCTTTATGCCTTCTCCCATAGCCAACAAGGTGAATTGGCCTATTCTTTACCTGAAGTCATTAAGCAAGCTGGTTATCAAACAGAGAATGGAGGGAAGATTCCACTGTAGACAATGTCCAACGTTAGGGAAGCATGAACTCGGAGAGCTTTAACGGTTTATTCCTTCTGCTGATGAGAGAGATGCCAGCAAGGTGGCTTAGGTCTTTGATCCACTGACAGAGTAGTGCACTCAGTTCCTTTGATTAAAATATGTAGGAAAAGCCATCTCTGGGTAGAGAAGGGTAGGTTATTTCGATGATGGAATGTAAGAAGAAAGTCAAAACTGAGCAGCCGGCAGTGCTGCTTTCCTCTTGAACTCCAATGATCAGTCCACTCCCATCATCTTTATGGTCCAAGCATACTCAATTGGAAGAGCAGAGGGTGGTATCTGGGGCAGATAAATGAGGAGACCTCCAGGTGGATTTGTGGACCACTTCAGATCTTTTTGGACTCCTAGCATCGTTACCTGAAGAAAGCCAAAGGCAATGGGAAAAACATTAATGCATTAATGAGTACAGAATACCACCTGAACATGGTGGAAAACAACCAAGCTGGGCCCGGGAAGGGAAGATCGTCCAAAACAGCGATCGCCAACCTGCAGACCAATGGTCTGCGGACCACCAATTGGCAACCATTGGTCTAAAAGGGGAATAAATATGGGAGAAACCTTGGAAAGGAAGGAGGAAGTAGAGAAGACCTGCCAATTCCTTTAAAAAAAGTTACATCTCTGAAAGGACTAACTGAGGCCCCTTACCTTTGTAGCAGAGGTAGTTTTAGGGGATTTAAGGCTTAAGACTCCATTTTCTGGCCAGTTCAGGAAAATGGCATAAACAGATGATTCTTTTGAGGTATACCTGAGAAAAAAGAAACATCATTATCAAAGATACCTGGCTTGTTACCCTGACACCTAAGGTTATTACACATAACCTTGTATATTCCCCTTCTGATGACCTACTAATCCCAAGGTCTGCGGGAAGAAAGCAGCCTCTTTCTGGTGATATCTTCTATTTTCACTCTCTATTGGATTACAAGTTTTCTTGAAAAATTTTAAACTCTTATACCAGTTATTTTACACCGAGGCCGTCTGCCTTATCACTCAAATATTTTTTCAACTCTACATCCAAGTGAAAACACAGAAGGATATAACAAGGGCAAGATGTGCAATGAAGACAAATTTGTAATTCTGAGATGTCATATTCAGAGAAGAGGATGAAAAATCACTAAGCGGAAGCTCATGTGAACAGGGATAGCCACGTTTCCCC